CCTGTTTACCGCTGTCGAGCGGGAAACGAGCCGGCCGACGCCGACGCCGGCAACGACGCCTGCACATCCGACTGTGACATTTCAGCGCGGATTAATTATTTGCACACCAGCGGAGCGCGGTATTTGTGACGAGTTCGCTTTCTGGACTGGCTGGGTTGGCAAACGGGCCCAAACAAGCGAATCAAATCGGAAAGAATTCGGACGCCGGAAAGGTTTTAACGAAGCAAATCGTAAAACCAAAATAGATTGTTGTAAGCTTCAGCATACCTGTAAACACATCTCATCTCACAAATGGATGCTTTGACTCCAATTCTAAGACATTCCACAATGCACTTTTACATTCATAAATTATAAATACCTAACTAACAAAACGGTGCCCTTTCCAAGCACGACACTTAACCCTCGCCGGACCTATTGGTTTTCTACATACGCGCCGGCCGAGGGGGGGGGGGCGGGTACGACCCCCCCCCCCTCGCCGTTTCGCCCCTGGTGGAGCTAGCGCGTCGCGGAAAAAACGAGCGTGTGCGCCGTTACGAGACGCAGAGATTGGTACCCGATTTTAAGGTCCTAGGTCAACTGGTGACCTCTGAGGTCAGGTCAAGTGCCCCAAGGTACGGTTCAGTTTTTGGTGAATAACTTCGCAAAAAACGGCCGCAGAGCGCCGATTTTGGCAGCATCATGTTCGTCTCGCTCAGGCGCGTCGAATGATATACTTTTTGTCCGGGTCAGGTCAACTTGGGGTGTTGACCTCAGGTCAAGGTCAGGTCAGCACCCCCAGGTCACGAAGTTGGTCGAAAGGGGTCATGTTGCATATCATTCGATTCGGCAGGTCTTCCTGAGTCCATTGGTGGCTTTCCCGACTCGCTAGCTCAATTTGATCAAGAGTTATTGACGAAAAACTAATATGACCTTGATGACGTCATAAATGACGTCACGCAAGGTAAACATTGCAAAAGTGACGCATCTAACCTTGCAAGGAGTGCATAAAATCACGATTTTGTGTGCTTGAGATAGTTGGAGATCGTTCCCGGCGCCAGAATAGCAGTTTGAATTTTTCCCCATTGACTTATAATGGTGAGGTCACGAAAATGACCTGACCTCATATGACCTTTAGGAAAAATCCGAGATATACAAGTTGTGGGACTCATAATGGATACTAGATCCTGCAAGTTTCATTTCCCTGTGACATCTCCTCTGGCAGTGAGGGCGTTGCGAAGTTGCGACATCTGAAGACCGTGCAGAGGTTCACTTATGACGTCATAGGTCAGTGACCTGACCTGACCCAAAAATGCGGTTGGTGTCAAAAGATGCGGCTTGGATCAAAGGTCAGGTATGCCAAGTTTCCGCTCTCTATCGCCAGCGTGTTCGGAGCTATCGCGAAAAAACCCTATGGGGGGGCGGCACCCGCCCCCCCCCCCTCGGCCGGCGAGGGTTAACTATACTGATGCAATGATACCTTCCCCCAGACACGCTGAGCAGTTTCTGGCATGTGCCATCAATCATCTGCGTAACCGATCCCTTCCCAAACATCTTCAGTGGCACTTCTCACAGCGGGGCCACAGAGATCGATTTCGGGTTCGACGCCCGTCATCGCCAAACAAGCCACCCGCCCTGTTCGCCCGCCCCGCGCGATTCCGCCGGAGTCTGATGCGGGGGATATTTGAGTCGCGGACCGATGTGTGTGTGTGTGTGTGTGTGTGTGTGTGTGTGTGTGTGTGCGCGCGAGGAGGGGGGGGGGGGGGTAGTTTCAATCAGTCGCCGCCGCAGCCACTATGGCTCCAGGCGGCGCCGTTGTCCAAATAACCAAGCGGCGCCGGCTGTTTGCCCGCGGCGCCGCGTTCTGTCGAGTTGGACCGACCTGCCTCGGGCGGTACCGTGTCCCGAGTCGACCCCCTCCCCCTGATTCCCCCCCCCCCTGGGAGATCAGTCACAGGCACGAGTGCCGGCGGAAACCCCGACCGGTCGCCGAATGCACGGCCGAAAGATCGGAAAGACTATAGGGGTGCCGTGAAGAGCTGCAAAATGCAAACCATGGCGCGAACTGCTAGATTTCGTGTTTGAGGGCGGCACGCACACACGAATAAGTGTGTGTTTAACCAGCTGTGATGTGCATGCTTCATGGAGTAGCTCTCTGGAAGTGTGTAGATTTCAACTCGCAGGTCACTTTCGACTACAAATGCAGGGCAATGGCGTAAATATTTCAGACGCGAAACACTGGCGAAAACTTCCAGTCTTCAGACAACTGGAAAGAAAATTTACGAGGCGTAAGCGGAAGCTCCCAGCGCCATGATAAAAAGTTCGTAAGACTCTTCTTTTGGCCCATGTCACCATAACCTCTCCGCCCACAGCGCCTACTGACCATCAATTCGGCACTGAACCAGTAACTCCTCCTCGACCGCGCCAGGGCACGGCCGGACGCTTCTCGTCCCGTTTTACGGCGCCGGCCGTCTCCCCATGTGTCCGGGCGGCCGGAGCGAACAAATGGCTCGAACTAGGCGCGATCGCCGCCTCCGGCCGGCCGGAGACGGCTGTCGCCTTCGACGAAGTGGCCTCGTTGGGCACGTCGTTACCGCGCCGTTCTGTAGGCTGCTAGGCGGGCTGAGCTTGTCGCCACGCCGTCGTATACAGGGATATGACCGATCTGAGCGGCGGCTGAGTGAAGGAGATGCAGAGACTGAGTGATGGAGAGGCTGATACCAGTCGGCCGAACATTTGTAAATTGTGCTAAAGATGATGAAATAAAAAGTTTTGAGAGTAGTTTCAGATTACTCAACAATGCCTGAGGAAGTCTATTTTATCCGAATAAGTATTGATTATACGAATAGCTCGTCAATGAAAAATGAGTTGATATAGCAATGGAATGGATTGTTCTCTGCACCCAAAAACACAAATGATCCTAAAAGAATACAAGACATTCTTGGTTGCGAGAGGCCCTAGTGACCTACTTCTGACACTATTCCGACCTTAGCAATGCAGCAGCACGTTGCCAAATCAAAAATTAATCAGTGCCAAGTCATTGCGGTCGAAGTGACTGACACTGTACAGGCGTCAGCGGCGGCAGCAGGGGCGGCGGAAATGGCGCCCGCCACTCCGTCAACTGGCAGCGGGGTGCCAAATACAACAGGGGCCGGCGACGGGCCCTGTGCGGCTCGAACCGTCGCCTTCGTCCGCAGTGCAGGACGCTGGAGTGGGGGTGCGCCGCCCACAGTCAACACTTCACATCCGTCGAGAGCGGTCTCTTAGTGTTCTGCGCGTTGGAAATCGCAGCTCAGATTCAGACTCAGTTCGCTAGATGGAAGGGAGTATAGACGGATTCGATAGACGTTTCCAAATGAGCGTTGGACTCCGCGTGGTGAGAGCACGCGTTCCCGGTTATGACAGTCCGGGTTCGAAGCGCGACGGGCGCTCGATATTTATGGGCCTCCTGACAGGTATGGTTGCGGTTGGTGGCAGGCCGTAGCCAGGCGAAGTCAGCGAGGGGACCGGCCGTGCGCGGCTTTGTGCGCACGTTAAACTTTGGACTCTAAATTCTGCCATAGAATCGGAATTGCGCGATCGGAGGGTAGAGGGCAGGGTCATCGCAACAAGCTTCGCTTAGCGGTGGCTCTGTCCTTGTGATTCCTTCCCATCAAAAGGTTCGGACTAAATTTAAAAAAAAAAAATGTGTAGAGCAACTGCTTTCTTCATCGGATGCTCATGGGTAGTTTTTCACTGGCAGTTAGGCACCTAAGAGTGCAAGCAAAATCTTTCAGTGTCTCCCGTTGTAGAAAATATCGAGGAGAATGTCGCGCATCTGCGCACTGCGTTCCTCTAAAACAGTAACACAAAGCCAACAGAGGCGGCACATCTCCCCAGCTGCCCCCCCCCCCCTCCCCATCGCCTGTCCGTTCGCCTGTCAGTCAGTCCATCCGCCCCGTCCGTCCCGTCCCTTCTCCAACAATACCGTCCATCGCCTCCCCGGTCCCGAGCCACGTGATCGCCATGTGTGTCGGATTGTGACTCCCCCTCCCTCCCCTGTCCTCCCTCCCGTCCCTCCCCTGTCCGACCCATTGCCATCTGGTGGCGCTTCGACGCCTCTCGAGGGGAGAGGAAAAGAGAGAGGGTCACACGTGTCACTCAGACGCTGCGCGTCCCTTCGCTCTCCCTCCGAAACATGGTAGAGTGCTGCCGACACCGGCTACCGCCCTTCGCGCCAGAGTTGCCGCTGGTTAGACTGCCGGACATGAACCAGCATGGCGTGAAGGAAGATTCGAAAGGGGTTATAATGAATGGGATGATGGATTGTAAAAGTTTCTATAAAAAAATGTTCAGCCCTGAGGAACAGGCTTGAGGGAGTATTTCATTGCACTAGAGGATGGACGGCGACAGTCGCCTGTCGCGCAGCGTCCGTGCGACAGTTGCGGGGTGCGGACGGGGGTTAGACTGCGACAGTCGCTCGCCGCAGAGCGCCCTGCAGTGCGACTCGCTAATGTTGGCACAGCCGTGCAGCGACACGAATAAGCCCGCGCTAAATCAAAACCAAACCCAGCAACGTGCCGGCCAAAAGCCGCTCCTTATCAGAAAAGGACACACCGAATGTAGTGTGAATAATTAGCTCACGAGGTGTACATAATTCACCGAGACGGTCAACGGCTCAAGGAATGTGGATTAGTGTCCAACATGCCTTTCGCATTGTATTACATTTATTTTCTATTTTTGCCTTCCTTATCGTGGCATGGTCGCATAATCCACCGTTGAGGGAAGTCACGTTCAAGTGCCGGCGATTTGAATAGGCCGTAAGAATAATCGCGTGCTGTGTTGATAATTGCACAGGACTAAGCCGCCATTTTTCGATGTCAGTAATGAATGGCATGGATGAAAACACTAAAAAAGTTGGAATCATTCACACCGAAAAAAAATAAAACATCAGTAGGCATGCCTTTCAGGCAAATATTTCGGGTTATTGCTGGTCGGTAGGGGAACACAACGAGTCAGTGGTCGGCGCCGCAGCGGGTACTTACACTGGATGTTGAGCGAGGCCGCCAGGCTGGTCAGACTGAAGCCGGTCGTCACATTCATGGCGATGCAGGTGAAGTGTCCGCCGTCCAGCCGACGGTCCACGCGCGCGATGTGCAGATCGCTGCCGCGCTGGAAGCGCCGGCTCGTGTTCATGACCATGTCGCCGTCCAGCTGCCAGTAGAACCTGATGAAGCTCGTGTTGGAGACCATGCACTCGAGGTCGACGCTGCCGCCCTCTCGTACCACCAGGTTCTCCGGGTGACGCGAGAAGTAGAAATCGTCCAGCGTGGCAGGCGCCGGCCGCAGCAGCGCTGAAGGAGAGGGAGGATCGATTAGATGAGGCTGGTCTCCAAACAGGGCCACGAGTGAACGGCCCTAAAAATATCAGTCCGCTGCTGTCTCCCAAGATAGCCAGCAACGCCCAGTCACGCGGATCTATTTTGTCTCTGGATACAATTGACCTGACACTTGATAGACAAAATCGGCTCGGCTGACGTTTCTATTTGGCAGAAGCTCAATAAAATAGCAAATAATGTAAAATTATTAAGTTTCACGTGAACAGATCTCCAATAAAATAGATAACATATTTAATATATACCCAAAATGCCGTCAGTTCAGAAAATTATAACACCAGCAAGCACTTAGAGCATCCGTATTTTCACTTTGACAATCAGATTCACAACACCACAGGCCAGTGCAGATAGGACCCCTGACCGTCTCAGCATCAGAATCCGTGCCCGGAGTGCAGCTCGTCCCCCCATGGCGAGACGCCCCGCCGAAACCCGGCCTCCCAGCGGGAGTCGGGCTGAATTATTCATGTCGTTTGTATGGAGCGCGCTCCGAGAGAATGATGCGCCATGTCAGCGATTCAGTCGGCTGGGGAGCCCAGTGGGGAGGCAGGGGGAGGCAGGGGAGGGCCCAGAGAGCGCGGAGGGTTGGGCTCAGAGGATCAATGCTGAGTGTAGATCCCGGCATCGCGCGGGTTAGACCATACAACAAAGAAACTGCCGAGGCCGTGAGGTATGCTAGCCAGCTTTGTGTCGTACAATTAGCAAATGCAACGGGAGGAATTGTAGAAAAAAATCATACCAGTGAGCTGTGGTCTGTTGGGCAGTTGCTGGGCAGCTGGAGCGAGCATTTGCATTTGTGGCCACCAGGCCTCTCCCCAGTCTAAAGTTCGGTAGCAGCGAAAACGAGAAAAGGCGAATGCTTATCGAATCAGGATGACTCCAACAAAGCGTTTAGAACTTCGTTTATAATTTTAATTTTAAGTCGCATTTTTTCCGAACAGCGACAGAAGCTGCCATCAGAACAGACGAAACTTCAGCCAAATCAAATAAGAGCGCTGTCTCGTAACTCACTTTGAAATTATCATGGAGGGTCCTATCCTTCCTTTTCATATCATTTTTATTCTATTGCAACCAGTACCATCTCGGCCACCCTATGCTTCCAGTTGTAGCAGTGGCACGTGTCACGGCTTCTGCGCGCGTCGGCCCATCGCGGCCCGCCCGAATCCACCGGCCCTCATTATCCCCTCAGCTAATGAAGAAATTAGTGGGCGGGACCGGGAGGGGTGGTAATGGGAGGCGTAAGGTATTCTACAACCGACCCGCACGCGCCGCAAACACCCAGCACGTGCAGTGTACTCGGCGGACATGTGACACAAGGCACGTGACATTGAAACGCGCCGACACGTGACCTGACAGGACTCCACCTTCGCCTTCCAATGGACTCGGATTGACTGTTGGTTGCCTGATGGATACAGTCGGTAAACACGAACTGAATCGGCAGTCCGTGTAGCCGGTCATTCCTTGGTGACATTGTTCCATAAGTCTGCACGCCGTGTAGTTTCAGTAAGGTCTCAGTAGTCACGCGGCCACCCAAAAACCTGCCACCATCCCCCTTATTGTCCTCGTGCTGTTTGCGGATGACGGGGTCTGCTGAGCTTTGCCAATGGTACGGGTTTGACCGCATTATGAGACGATTTTTTTTTCTTTTGCTGAAGTAAAATGAAGCTCGGACCCTTTAAGTAAAATGAAACTCTGTGTGCGGCAGTCTCAGACCTACCAAAATCGGTGTGATCATCATCAGATTATAAAAATAGATCTCCTCTCAAAGAAATCAAAGAATGCGAAAGGAAAACAGCCTCGTTATGTGAAAGGAAACCCTTGAAGTGAGTGAGAGCGTCTCAGCCAAATGATTTGTTTATCAGCGACTTGATACAGATTAACAGCTTACAGCTTCATTAATCACAATACACCTTCATGGATGACGCGTGGAGCGCTATATTAAAAATACGGCGTCACGTCCGGGCCCAGAATGGCACGGGCCGCGTCAGCGCCCCTCGACAGGGGTCATGGAACAACACTGCTATAGCAGTCGACTGTCCGACGGACCGACGGGTCGACTGATGGAGCGACCGACCCAGCGACCGACAGGCCGAGCAACATTATAAATTGACGCCTATTTTAATGAAATAACGTAATTTTGAACGGACCGTCAGGCTGTAAATTCACAATACCTATAATTTAATGAGTACCAGCTGGGTATGGCAGTTTCGTTCTTCTAAATTTAGGCATAGCTGTAGCATCAAACGACAATGATTGTGTCGCCCCTGAAATTACGATGCAAGCTGGAGGCGCATGGTGTTTTTATTTAGACATTCCCGTGCGTCACAAGGTAGTTCATTAACTCGTACATGCCATGAATGTTTTCCACTCTTTCAGTCTATGCTGAAGCCTTTCCCGCGAATCTGGCGCCTCTGGTCCCACCGTCCCTCAGCAGGCCGGGCCAAAATCGATGTTCGGTGACCGCCCCTTCTCCCTCCATCAGTGTTGGGCACCTACCCATTAGCGCCACGACGGCCAGCCAGGGAGGCATGTTGACCGCTGTCGGAAGACTGCGCGAGCTAAGACCGGGCGCGTGCCGTCAGACACCAGCTGGCCCGAGCAACACCCCACACCGCCACTCACGACTCACAACTGGCGGGCCGCCGACCGCCTCCGACCGACGACCGTAACGCGCATGCGCGGCCTCTCGACAGCCGGCTGGGCTGGACATTGGCGCTCGACGCTCCTCTCGATAGACGCTTGGATTGGATAGACGGTAACCCCGTGCCGTAGGCGGGGCAAGTGCAGTGGCAGTGCAGATTGCAGAACCAAAGATGAGAAGGGTAATGCCCAATCCCTCTGGCCTGACATGTTCTCGAGAAAAAGGTCACACTCACGGGTCATTTGGGTCAGAGTTGGAGTTTGTGTAAAAATCTCAGGGAATGCGTAAAAGTCTCGGAAAAACTAAAAGTTCTCTTGCGATCCACTACTTCGCGAATTTTTCCTGGAAAAGAGAAAAAGGCCGTTCGACCCCCACGCTTGCCCCCTTCAAAGTGATGCCTATTGACTAATCTGTTCAACATGTAGGTACTCTTATCCTACCACACAAATATTATACTTTCCTTCAATTCATGTTTAACCCTATTCCTGGCGGCAGGGGCGTAGGCAGGGGGGGGCCACTGGGCCATGGCCCCCCCTTGGGCGCCGAAGGCGCCCTTTGCGATTGGAGGCGCGCGCCCTCCAATCGCAAATGCAATTGTGATATAATCGAATCGAAAAACAATCGCGACTGGATGGCGCCCTCCAATCGCGAATGTGTTTACAGGGAAAATACGGATGGAGGGCGCCCTCGGAGGACGCCCATTCCAAATACGCCCTCCAAATACGGTTGGAGGGCTCCCTCGGGCGCCCTCCAACCACATTTGTAGGCTGTAGCTCTCTAAGCGTAACGGTGGTCGCCTATGTAAGCCGCTGTCCTGTAAATAAGCGCCCTCTCACCCGAAGGCGCCCTCCTGTAGGTCGCCACCCTGCTACACATTGCCGCCCTTCTGCTGATCGGCGTCCTCATAATTATTGGCGCTCTCCTACCTATTGAGCCCTCATGTGAAATTTTGAAGGCCGCCTTTCTCCCTTTTGGCACCCTCTTGTTCAGTGCCGCCCTCCTACCTATTGGTTCCCTAGTCCTTCCTGTTGAATGTTAATCGGGGCCCTTCTCCTATTGGCGCCCTCGTGTAGATCGCCGCCCTCCTAACCACTGGCACCCTCCTGTTGATCACCGCCCTCCTATCCACTGGCACCTTCCTGTTGACCAGCGCCCTCCGCACAGACGCCCTCCTGTTCGTGTCATCCTCTTGAGCAAAGGCGCCCTCCTCACCATTGCCACCCCCATTTTAATCGTCACCCTTCCGCTCATTGGCGACTTCCAGTTGATGACCGCCCTCCCACCTGTTGGCGACCTCTTGTTGATCGCCACCCTCCTATTGGTGCTCTCCTGTTCCTCGCCACCCTCTTACCTGGTGGCGCCCTCCTGTTGATTGTTGATCGGCGCCCTCCTACCTATTGGTGCCCTCCTGTTGATCGCTGCCCTTCTATCCATTGGCGCCCTCCTGCTGCTCGCCAACTTCCTACCTATCGGTGCCCTACTGTCGAAACTCGGGATGTTGATCGGGGCTCTTCTACCTATTAGTGCCCTCCTGTGGATCGCAGCCCTTCTACCTATTGGCAACATCCGTTGATCGCTGCCCTCCTATCATTTATTTACTCCTTTGGCATGTTTTTCAACTTAGTCGTTCTATTGCACATAGTTGATGTCTTGCCTGTGAAAACTGCCACAAATGAACGTGCATTCAGCACAATGAATGAAGTATCTATACCTACCAAAACTATCTACGCTCTACGATGCATAAAACACGTCTTTGGTCTTAACGGATTGATCCTACTTTACGTGCATCATGGCATCTATATGGATTACGATTAAGTATTGTCAACAGGTTCGGGCGCAACAGCAGGCATCTGAAGTTTCGGTGATTGAAACTGGTTATGTGGGTACACTGTATGCATCTGTGAGAAGGCTATGAAGGCTGGTCTGAGGTAATTTGGATGATGTTTACGCATCTCGCGCTCCGGTATCAATCCGATACGGTGATCTGGTGCGTAGATATGCCACCGCCAATAAACGTTTATACATCGACACCCATGAGCCAAGCTTTCTGTACAGTTTGTGTGGCAGCGGCCCGACCAAACCTTAGGTATTTTTTACACCTTCAAATTTGGTAAAAGAGCGAGAGGAGCTTTGAACAGTGATCGTATAAAAGGCGTGCCTAAAAAGCGGAGGAAAAGGTTGTTTTCAAAAATTTCGCGCGCCTTCGGCGCAGCATTTCAAGAACACTTGACCTTTTGTGACCTGGAGTATAATGAATACTCACGATGCAAAATCAATGCAGCACGACCTATACGAGGTTACGCAAAAAAAAAAAACTGGTGGCATGGTAAAAAACGCCTCTCAACCCCCCAACCCCCACTGAGCGATTTTTTATCTCGCGACCGTATGGCGCCCTCCTTGGGTGAGGTGGCGCCCTCCAAACCCTTGGCCCCCCCTTCGCGATTGTCTAAATACGCCGCTGCCTGGCGGGCTCCGCCGGGACAAGAAACTGGCGGGGGGGGGGGGGCGATTCGGCCCCCCTTCAGATCTCAAAAACTACACATCGCAGCGACAAACGGCGAACGGCGTTTGATAGGTCGTTTAAAGATCTACAACTTTTACATAAAACATTTTCAGGTCAGGTCAATATTGAGGTCACCAGAGGTCATCAACGATAAAATGTTTTGGAATTAGTTACCTATATAACTTTTGAACTAAGAAACATAGAGACATAAAACCAATACATTTTCTGTTGCTCTCGCCGAGGCGATGCGAAATAAGTAGGTATGTGATGACCTTCACAGGTCAATTTAAAATTTAACCTGAGGTCAAGGTCAGGTCATTCATCAATGAGGTTGTGGGGTATGGTCATGCTGCATACCAAACGACGCGCCTTGACCAGGCGAGCAGTTTGGTACCACTTACAAGTCTTTAGCACCATCATGTCGTGATTTATTGACAGAAAAACGATTTATGACGTCACATGACCTCAGACGACCTTTGCCGGTGCCCCTGTCAATTAGCGGCACCAGGATCATCACCGATGAGATTATCTTCCATAATACTGAAAGAACTGGGTGGTTTTGACTCGTTTACACGAAGCAGGAGGCGTTTCAATATTTTCCCATAGGCTTGCAATGTAAAGGTCACGAGTCTGGCCTGACCTCAGGTCACAGATATGAAAATTCTGAGATATACAAATTGCACATACTGGTACCCTAACTAAAGCCTGAAGAGAAGAAATTGATCGGTCAAAAACTCTAGCTCTGGCGTGATTGCAAACTTTTCTGAGGTATGGTCACCAAACCGCCTCTGGTGACCTGACCTGAGGTCAGATCAACTCAAAATTTTCAGAAATGTTGCGTAAAGCCTTTTAGAAAAAGTCAGAAAATTTGAGCTTCCTAGCTCAAAGCGTTTGGGAGATATAACCAAAAAACCTCAGGGGGGCTCCTGAGGCCCCCCCCCCCCCGCCAGGAATAGGGTTAAAACTTAAAACTGCGAACAAACTGGGAGCGCCGCTGCGCCAGTCGAGATAAGCGTGTTTCTTCTTTTCGCCAATAGATGTCTCGCTAAGCGGACGCCTGAATGTATGCTGTACCGCCTGGCAAAAAAGAATTTTCACTACGTGAAGTTTTTACTTTAATCTGGTAGCGAATAAACATGATACATATAGCACGCAGCTCAGCCGTTCAGTTTTGTTCAAAATTACTAATCTGTTTGCTGATGATAGCTAATATCCAAGGAGAGTTGTCGAAAGTTAGTGTTTTGTACGTTTCCTTCCGGCATTGGTAGATTCCCTTTGAACAGAGTTTGAAGACATGGGAATAGTCAGAAGAAGCTGTTGTGTAATAAGGTCTACAGGTATTATTTTATAATTTTTCAGTACACTGTGTGGTGAGTGAATGTCACTTGCGAAACACAGTTCACGGCGAAATCCCTCTTTTGCACACTGGGCTCAAAATTGAATAAAGTAAAAACCATATCATATTTTCACAAACCTTAAATCAACCTAGAAATTAATTTATTGCTAAAAAATCAGGTACAATTCAAGCAGAAACAAAACTAATCTTACTTGACCTTACCTTACCTACGAGCCTGCTAACCTACCAGTATAACGCCTTTTGGGGCGACTCACTGAGCGAGCAAGAGGGTGAAGCCTTGCACGCGCGAAATTGCGGGGGGGGGGTACCTCCAACTGAGTTGTGCATGGCACCCTACTACCTAACCGGTCTCTAGCGATGTGCCAAATTTTAACACAATCGGCTTAGCCGTTCTCAAGATCTGGAAGCGGCACCCTGCACGTGCCGTGCGCACGTGTAGAATGGGTCCTAACTGACTTGTGCACGGCACCCTACTAACTGATCCCTTTTCGTGTACCAAATTTGAGCGCCATCGGTTCAGCCGTTCTCGAGATCTGGAAACGACCCCTGCACGTGTGCACGTGCAGCAGCACCCCAACTCTGGCACATGTATATCCATTGCCTAGTGGGTGCCTACCTAGGTACATGCCAACTTTCAGCGCAATCGGCCAAGTAGTCACCGAGATATTGCAACTATTACAAAACTGACACCTCTTCGTTTTGCACGTGGCACGTGCATAAGGGGTCACCCAAATGCATCGCGAATAGTCCAATACTTGGTAGAAGGAATGAAGCTACCTTACATAAATTACCACATGTAAATCGGTCAAGTGGTTGCTGAGATATAACCGTCGCAAAATCGTGACCACGGCCGGCCGGCCGGCCGCTCATACTCAGAAATTTCCGTTATTCTACGTAAGACTCTGCTCGCTTCGCTCGCTCCGTAACCAACCGACAACCTACCAACCTACAACCTACACCTACAATACCTACACTGTGGTAACCACGTGTGTCGCCGGCCGGCACGGGAGTTCCCGGCGCAGACCGATTCGCGCGCCGACTTGTGACGTCGCTACCCCGCCCCGGCGCTGGGGGGCGGCCCAGGACGTGTCTGTTCGTGAACTTTGTCCCATCACGATGCGACCGCGTGCCTGCGGCCTGCGCTGCCGCAGTGCGTCGGCCAGTGACCAATCCGCGCTCCGATCGGCAGCCACGTGGTGTCCGAGTGCTTCTGCGCATGACTGGGCCCGGCCCGCTGCGTCGGGCCGCGCGCTCCCAAGGACTTCTGGCCGAGCTCTTGGCTCGAGCAGACGCGTCACGTCTGGCTCCGCGATTTGGCCCGTTCTGTCCGGGATTTATAACTTAGATTAGGCAGGGCATATTTGGCAAACTTGGATTTCATTCTCGTCTCTTCGTTGCTCCATTGTCTGATTCGCTGTTTTGGTTTTTGACTTCGTTTTGGTAATTTAAATATAACAACCCGCTCTTTTGATTAATTCTTTTACTTGGGGCCGTTTGGATCGAACTGATTGAATTTTTGGAACACGCACCAGGTTGATATTCTCCATTTTTGATTAACGTAAAACCCAGTCACTGATATGTGGTGAACAGCCCCACAGCACCACATATTAGTGACTGGGTTTTACGTCACCTGGAGTGACGTCTTCCGCATCGCCGGCCAAGGACGACAAGCCGTCCGCGGCTGCGCCGGTGCACACCCGCAGCGGCCGCCGCGTGCAGTTCCGGCCGCAACCGGACTTCCGATACTTTTAAGTGCGCCCGCGTACGTGCGTTCGAGGACGATCCTGATCGCGTGGCGCCGACAGTGAAGTGATAACTGCGTCGCGCGGTGTAGTGATTCTTGCGTCGCGCAGGACCGTGCAGTGACGATTGCGTTGCGCCGTACCGTGTAGTGATTATTGCGTCGCGCAGTGAAGTGTCGATCGCGTCGTGCACCGAGTGATGTGAAAAGTGATTGTTTTGGCTTATCGTGTATGCGCTCCGCGCTGAGGCGGTGAGTACTGTGGTAACCACGTGTGTCGCCGGCCGGCACGGGAGTTCCCGGCGCAGACCGATTCGCGCGCCGACTTGTGACGTCGCTACCCCGCCCCGGCGCTGGGGGGCGGCCCAGGACGTGTCTGTTCGTGAACTTTGTCCCATCACGATGCGACCGCGTGCCTGCGGCCTGCGCTGCCGCAGTGCGTCGGCCAGTGACCAATCCGCGCTCCGATCGGCAGCCACGTGGTGTCCGAGTGCTTCTGCGCATGACTGGGCCCGGCCCGCTGCGTCGGGCCGCGCGCTCCCAGGGACTTCTGGCCGAGCTCTTGGCCCGAGCAGACGCGTCACGTCTGGCTCCGCGATTTGGCCCGTTCTGTCCGGGATTTATAACTTAGATTAGGCAGGGCATATTTGGCAAACTTGGATTTCATTCTCGTCTCTTCGTTGCTCCATTGTCTGATTCGCTGTTTTGGTTTTTGACTTCGTTTTGGTAATTTAAATATAACAACCCGCTCTTTTGATTAATTCTTTTACTTGGGGCCGTTTGGATCGAACTGATTGAATTTTTGGAACACGCACCAGGTTGATATTCTCCATTTCTGATTAACGTAAAACCCAGTCACTGATATGTGGTGAACAGCCCCACAGCACCACAACACCACCTACACCTACAACCATACAATTCATCTGTATAGTCCCTTGAATTGGAACAGCTCAAGTTTTGACCTGAATCTGAATGTTGACAGGTTGATACTTTATCTTGATTCAGCTATGTAGTATGTTGACTTCAACAAAGTGATATGTGTATGATGCTAATTGCTAGTTACTAATAGATCAGGTTTTAGTGGAAGGTGCCTGGTGAGTGGTGCACAAAGAAGCAGTACCTATCACATTAGACTCTGATTCAGAGGGCAATCTGATGTATGGACATACTATCTGGTCTTACTTTGGAAAACCCAGTTGTATCACCGAATTTTAACTTCTGATAATATAGTAATTTAACAAACATCTGATCACAGGATATCGGACATGGCCAGCTCTGAGTTTGGACAGGCTTTTGAGGGCCTGAAGAGCTCAGAGTTTTATGAGCCGCCTCCCACGGCTCCACCGGCGGGGACCGCGGGGTCCGGTACGGGGAGCGGTACTGGTACCGGTACCGCCCGCTCGATCGGCTCCGGGTACAGCATCCTGGTGAACCACCGGCAGCGCGGCAACCCCGTGCTGAAGGCCATCTGCAGCGTGCCCTGGGAGTTCAGCGACATCCAGCCCGACTATGTGCTCGGCGCCAAGACGTGCGCCCTCTTCCTGAGCCTGCGTTATCACCAGCTGAACCCCGGCTACGCGGCGGAGCGTGTCCAGGCACTCGGCTCGGCGTTCGAGCTCCGCGTCCTGCTCGTACAGGTTAGACGGGCGAGTGTGGGTCCAGTGATCCGAAATGCGAGGAAGGATGCCCTCGTACACTTGAGATAGGTAGGCATTTCATGACCGAAAACCATGCATTACGATTTGCAAGACTTCTGATAGAAAAGGTCATGTTGAGTTTGTGTTTATTGCCAATTTGGCCAGAGAACTGTACTTACCACATGCTACCATACCGCTATCACTACTATATCGCTACCCTAAAACATCTCGTACGTGCCACCTTGCCTCCTTTAGAAGCAGTTCGCTGACGTTGTCCCACTGATATTCCTCAGGTGGACGTCCGAGAGCCGCACCACGCGCTCAAGGAGCTGACGCGTCTGTGTCTCCGCTGTGACATGACGCTAATGCTCGCCTGGAGTGCCGACGAGGCCGGCCGCATCCTGGACACGTACAAGGCGTACGAGCACAAATCTGCTGAGCTGATCCGAGAGCCTCAGTCGGGAGGAGCTCTGGCGCAGGTCACCGACGCGCTCACCTCAGTGCGTTCGGTGAACCGCAGTGACGCCGCCGCGCTGCTCAACGCCTTCGGCTCGCTGGCGCACGTGATACGGGCCACGGAGGAAGAGCTGGCTCTCTGTACGGGTATTGGACCGAGCAAGGCCAAACGGCTTTACGAGGTGCTACATATGCCCGTCAGACGGACCGGCAGTCCGACAAAACGAAAGTGAGCCGACGATGGAGGCAGTGACCGTGCCAATGATGAGAAGGCTGGGATAATGAGAAGGCTGGGGGTTGACGTTCTGACGCTCAGCGAATCTATCACTTTTTTAGATGGATAGCCCAGTGAGTGGCAGTTCTCCAACCCGTGATGGCTGAGGTCCATGCCTGGGCTGCGGCTCCCAGAGTCCGGTAGGTGGTGTTCCTTGCCCCGCCTCCTTTTCGGACTAGGAAGATCTCTGGCCTGTTGTATGCTCTCCGCCTGCTCCCAGAGGTCCGTCGTTCCGAAATCTGGCGGGTTTGTGTCCTCACCGAGGCGAACGTGACCAACTTCTGCCGTCATTGCAGTACCTGATCTTTTTGTAACGTTCAGTTATTCATCAACTGCCCCATGCCAGTTGTCGCGTCATGTTAGTGTAAATGAACGAGCGTTTTCGTGTGACTGCGAGTGTGAAATGGTCAGTAGCACAGTACTGTGCTTCTGGTCATAGTACTGGTACTGGTAGTACTGCTAGTAGACGGGTACTTACCCGTCTACTGCCAGCGCTTTTGTAATGTGTCCACCCCGGCCTGTCTGTCTTATAATGTGTTATTAGCCCATGTAAAATCATATTTCTCGTCGAATCGTACATAAACTTTTGCGCATAGTTAGCTATTCCCCGTCTCGGCGAAGTACATACAGCACGGTTATGGAATCATCGATATATTGTCTACGGAAACCGGGTCTGGGCGACCCCTTGGAAAACGGACAACTAATGCCACAGCTTGGATTATATCGAGGTCCACCGTTGGTCGGGCGCAAAGACCGCGATCACAGCAGAAATTGCAACGTGTCGGCTGGCAGGCATACGCTATAACAAACAGCACCCTCTCAATCGCGCTATGATGGATATAACAAGCCACATCCACATTCCACACCCGCTGCCCGCTGGACCTATACAGCAGACGATCGTACCTGAACGCACAGCTAGTCACACACACACACTCGCTCGCATACGCACAACACCACTGAGCCCCGCATCCAAAGGTGATTCCCTGTTACAATGAAGTCACGAGGCTGGAGCCAGCGACTGAATGGATCCTGAATCCAGAGACATACTGCACCAACATGGCACGCGAGCCCGTATCGTTCGAAGCAAGATTAGCAGCGGCATATCACAATCACTGGGGAATATAAGTTTTCGTGGCAAGTTTAGTTTTACTTTGGACCCGGCGAGAATCTTCAGGTGATAAAATCACCAGAGCAATACGATAAAATCGTATGAGAAATTCAGCCACAACAAAAATCAAGCGTCCCTCTTCTGCTTCTTGAGTTTAGACCATACCGACCAACAGTATCCGCCCACATAACCAGTAAGGGGCATCAGAAATGACCAGCACCAAATACAAAGCCATAAAAAACGAACCGATTACCGACCGCCATAAGCGGAAGCTCTACATTGCATGACACTGCATTGTTTACCTTTTCCTCCACATACTCCTCTGAGTAATCCTGATGTAATCACTCCCCTCCAACCAATGCCTCCTTCCCAGCAGAGCGGCGCCGGACCGTCAGGTGCCGGTCACGGGCCGCGGCGGCTGCTCGCTGTGCCCGGTCCTGTCGGCTGCTCGGTACAGCACAGTCCCGATCCAGGTTCCGTGATTCGGTGCCCGGCCGTAAGTCGGTCGCTCGGCGTCCCTACAGTCCAGGCGGCGTGGGCACGCTGATGCCGAGCTGCTGAGCCACCTCGGCCTGTGCCTGGGCGGCGTCCCGCAGCGAGAACAGGTGAGACAGTTCGGCCTCCGTCTTGGCGAACGGAATGGCCTTGTCGAACAGCTCCATCGCCCGCCTCAGGTTACCGCTGCAATAAGACAGCCGTGTCAGTTACTGCCGACAGATAGGACAGTGAACGCAGTGAAGAAGTAAGACTACTCAGTGTCAAGTTAAAAAAAAAAAACAATGATAAGTTGGTGACAAAAACCAAACAGCATTTAATTCTATGCTTATATTCATTCTAAATTGTCAACTGGGCACACCAGGTAAAAAGCGAATCTCGGACATTGCATGTTAGCCCTCCCCGGTACCCGCGACTGTCAGTGTATGTAATCCTAACCGTGTAGTCAGTGTAGACCTCTTATGCGGCTTTTGTGTAGACCACGCGCTTGAGGTTCGCCGTAGCTGTACTGACCGTTGTACTTCGATGGTGCCGAGCGTCTCGTAGGCGAACTCGCCCTTGTCATCGAGCTCCAGGGAGCGTGAGATGAGCTTGGTGGCCTCTGTGACGTCTCCCTTCCACTGCAGCTGCAGCAGGCCTGGCAAGGAGCCGGACGAGCCCATTAGACATGGCGGACGGTGACGTACGAGTCAGGCATGGCGGACGGTGACGTACGAGGAAGGCATAGCGAGACGGGCCGTTGGTACAATTAAAAGGTAAACGCGACTGATAGACTGAAGGATCAATGTTAGTTGTTGGCCGTTCGCGCGACCAGGAGCGCAGTATCCACTCATCGTTATGGTACTCTTAGGTACAGGTCTCGCGGGTTTTAGCGGTAGGTTTTGCACCTAGAGTAGAAAATTTAGTGTACTTCAGGCTATATCGTCGTCGTCTTAAAGGGACCATCCCACCTTAACATTAGTTTTGAGTTGAGATAGCCAAGTTTGCGGCCAGGCTCAGAAACCACCATTTATCCTGGTCGCAACCCCCGTAGCTTTATGGTGTTCAAGAAATTTCTTCCCTTTACTTGCAGGGTGGGACCAGCTTAGTCCCTATCTCTTAACCATTAGCGGTTTTTTGATGACGTCAGCAGTCATTTCAACGCCCGCCATTCCTTGAACCCGAGTTTTGCTGACCTTGAGCTCCCTTTTTTATCAACGTGAAATCCGTCGTCGGCGCTGAGAAAGCCTATTGCTTTTCATTTTAATTTGAATATTAGAAGATACCCACCACTGGAACTTGGACTGATATTATACCAAGGCCGAAGATGATCAAGCTGCCTGCTATATCTGGAGCTTGGTGTTCAACTTCAACATGGAATAAAAAACAAAATATCAAAGCAAACTGGATATGGTACTGCAAGTTAAAGTCCAAAGAAATTTGAAGAGCTGACAATTGACATTAATAATTTTCCTGCAAGGTTTCCATATGGAGATCACAGTCACACCATGAAGAAATATTTTTGATGTTAACAGTTGAAAGGGGATTTATCTTCCAGTTTTGACGAAAGACGCTGCTGACTGTCTTTGGAAAAGGATGTCGGCATGAGGTGTAATTGTGCTTGTGAAGTGGTTATAACTGGTCTTTTCACAGTATTAAATTAAATGTGCCATTGCAGCCAAGTGTGTTATCATGTAAGGTAAAATCAAAACTACAATGTTGGTTTTACGAGCATTGAGAAGGCTGGTAGGTAACACCTGCCTGTGCTCGTAAATCATGCTGCCAGAGTATTCTAAATTAATTTTATCATACACTTTTGTTGTCCAGAATGGTTGCACTATTGTTTGGTATCATATTACTCCATGTAAATATGGTAGTGTAAAGTCTGACCAACATGTTACCAGATTTGAAGCTGTTACGTTACCTAAGTACCTGTTTTTTACTGGCGTGGTGAATGTCACCTGGATTTTGTTTTGAGGTGCAGACCTAGTAACTCTGACTACATGGGTTTGAAGCTATTATCTATTCTGTTTTTACTGGCCTGGTGAATGGCGACTGATGTTGTCCGTGGATGGCACTGAAACAAATTTTGAGTGTTTTGTACAGTGTTTTAATACAATGCTGAGGGCTGAAAGTTGTCTTGTTTAGAGTGGTGAAAGTTCAGGATATGCCAGCCACCATGGTGGGTCAGAGTTAAATGTGTTGCAGTCAGTTCGGCTTCGGCAAGCACACGGATGGGCATACGCATCAAGACCTGCTCTGCCATACTTTCAGCCAATTTTACCTAGGTAAGTCTTTTCTTTTTTCTGCCAAAAGCTATGACATTGTGAATTTCAGCACTGTGGCCTGTGTGTAGCTTTCAGGAAAGCAATTCTAAATAAAGCTCTGATAAAGTGCAAAATCAGCAATGCAGCCTCTATTACATTTTCTACAACATCTTACTTGTTCCTTGCATGGAGAGAAAAATGCAATGTTATGAATTCGTTTATTCACATAATTTGACAAGCATGCAGTTACCTGCTACTATCACTGCACAAAACAGAGCAGAAAACATCAGTTGATCAAACACAAGACATAACAGAAGTTTACAACATAGGGCTCCCGAACCTGCTTCCTCCCACCACAGTTGATGCCATTTCCTAGCTTGGCTTGATGTGAGCACTGAATAGCTGCTTTGTCTAATTACAGCTCACTACCATTCAACTTAAACTACTCTCTTTAAAGTAAGAGTGAGAGCGTTCAGTGTTCATAGCAGCTCGACAGACGACAGACAACAAACATCTTGACAAACCAACCAGTATTTGATTTGGCTAATGATTTATGTGCTTGTTGTATCATGGCCAAACTACTTTAACAGCAATAATCCCTGTTTCATCTTGATCTTGCTTTTATTTCCATTTGAACTCAGATCTTGAAACAATCATCTGAAGTGATATCAGATACTGGCTTCTGTTTCTCTTGAAAGCAAGTTAAAACAACAATGATAAACTAAGGCAGGAGGTGTGAGTTGTGGCAGTAGATTTTTGATTCAACATATGTCAACCTAATATTGCTTGAGACCTCTGTGACAGACAAACAAATATTTATAGTTTTTTGATAGTTTGGATTCTTGGCTTGATTTAGCAGATCAGCTGTGAACCTTGACTTTGAAATCACATAAATGTCATGGTACCCGAACGAATCCTCGCATGACATTTCTTCGTAGCACAATTTTTCGTCCGCATTTCTTCGTCTACAAATATTCGTCGGTGCATTTATTTGTCCCTCAATGCTTACTCTTGCATATATTTGCGTTGAAGAAGAAATGCGAGCCGATTTACATATACCCTGGTGCGAGACAAAGTAATGCGATAGGTACGAATAAATGCCCTGACGAAGATTTGCAGACGAAGAATTGCGATACGAAGAAATACCATAAGAATTGTCCTGGAATCCTTTATTGGCCATCATATATTGACCTTGATAAGATAAACGCATCATTCGCGCAATATTTGTCGCACTTTGATACCAAACTATTGCTTCCAAATGCCGACGTAAAGAAAACCTTTATGTGACGTCATAGAAACAGCGGATTTCCCAAAAAGTAAACAAAAATAAAAGTCTTATATCTCGAAAACGGGTGAATATTTTCCGGTAAAATTTGGTAGATGTTCATTTTCGCTCTTTGTGATTCACGCTACATCACTTTTATGCCAATTCATTAACTTTTTTGAAGGTGGGAGGGTCCCTTTAAGTTTTAAGTGTTGAAGATCCGATCGACTTGTTGGTTCACAAGCCGGCCATGGTCGTGTAAAATGGCTTCATCGTAGATCGATTAGTTTCTGAGATATAACCGGAAATGTAAAAGTGCAAAACCTACCGCTTAATGTCGCGAGAGCCGTACGTTCTCTCGAGTCCTGGACATGCTACCACACACCATCATGGCAGAAAGCAAGCAAATGCACTCTCACTTTACTTAAGTTTATCAACTTTGAAAGCAGTGGCGTGGTGTTCAGGACCCTGATGATGATTTG